CCCCAAAACCCCAAAACCCCAAAACCCCAAAACCCCAGAGTGAGTAAAATAATTGAATTGAGGCAAAAATAATTATTATCAGCAAGATGAGATCTTCAACCCAAAATAGTGCCAAGCGATGCCCAAATAATAGCTACAGAGGTCTTGAGGTATCCAAGACTGTCCAGAATGAAGACATTCTACATCTCATTTCAAAACCTATCAAGATGCGTAAACGAAGTATCAAATTTTACCCAAAAATAGTCAAGCATGATTGTCGTAAAAATGATATAAAGTACAAACTTATGAAACCATTTATAATCTTACATAATTTTCTCATATTTTATCTTCTCTTTATAGAAACCATCCGAATATTGTGTACAGTGAAAAGACCCAGAATAAGCTCCTTGGAGTATCAGCTAATAAATAGAAGGATTTCAGTCGATAATTCAAAGTATTAATTTATAAAAATGCTACTATTTCCATTTTGAGCAGCTATAATAAATTTTATAGTGAATTGTTCCCATCAGAAGATATTATGAACAGAACAGTAAATTTTTATAAGGAGAAGTTGTTCCCAACTAGAAACATTAAGAAACTCGATAAGCGAAGAGCGATCAGGAAACCTCTCCTAAATAATTTTCAATGAAGTGCTAGGGAGAAGATCAAGGAAAGGTTGCTCAACTTCGACAGAGAGTTTCAGACAAGACCTCTCAATCTACAAATTCATCCTCGTCAAAAACTTGCTGACTCTCAAGCTTTTGTGACTACTCGTAACAACCAGGAAATCATGGTAAGAGTAAAGTAGTGAGTAGATAGAACACTGAAACAAACTCAAAGACTTTCTCAGACTTTGAAGAGTTCAACATGCAGGCCATTGGTTTAAATACTTGCAAAATAGCATTCCCTACTAGCACTAAGAATATAGTGAGAAGAAAGAAGTAGGATGATAATATAAAATATATAGAAAATAAGACAAAATCTCTGCTTCAAAGTGCTAAGAAAGGTCTCAAAAACAACATTTTTCATAAAACAAAATTTAAGATCTTCAAAACTCAAAAAGAAATAGGTAAGCACCCATTCAGATCCTTACAGAGACTAACAAATAAGATTTTCCAATGGAACAAAACCAGTAGGGTCAAATACAGACCCACTAGAGAACAATCTGACCCAAGACTCCTCATAAAAGTACCCATCCAATCTTCCTCACATCACCTCCTCATAGACAAACCGATCAATGAGACCATGTCTCAAGCTCAACATCCCCAAAGTCTTCTTCAAGTACTCTCCCCCTAACTCCTTTCAGACTCCTCTCCTCCACTAAACCTGCCCACAACACCTCTCTTGACCAAAACCTCCCTCAAAATCCCCTCCAAACTTCCTGAACCTCCCCTCTAAATCCCACTCAGCCAGATCTCCAGTGTAACCAGCCCAGTCCTACAAATTTCTTCAAAAATTCCAAAATCCTTCTATGAACCACACAGAAAGCACTAAAAAGTCCGAACAAGTAGGAACAAAACTGAAATTTTTGTAATTTTCAACTGGAGATTTTGGCTGAGGGGTTTTGGGGTTTTGGGGTTTTGGGGTTTTGGGGTTTTGGGGTTTTGGGGTTTTGGGG